AGGCCCTGTGTCCCCCTGCTGCCCCCCACCCCGGGCCTGAGGGGACGAGCAGGGCCCGGCGCAGGTTGCCGGGGCGAGGGGTGTCAGAGGCCTGGCCGGGGTATTGGGCCCAGCGGGCACTCCAAAACTCCAGTGGCCAGTGTGGGTGGGCCGGAGGGGTCCCAGGCAGCCTGGAGGGGTCCTGGGCAGCCCCGCTGCCAGGCAGGAGGGAGGCGGTAGGCCCCGAGAGGGTGGCCCATGCTGTGGCCGGTGCTTTGCCTCCGCTTCCTCGCCGGGGCCTGGCCACTGTCCCCAGGCTGCCTCCAGCTCCTTGGGAGAGGCAGGGTTTGCCTAGGGAAGGCAGGAGGGAATCCCTGTTTACCGGAACTGGGGGTGGGTGGTGTCAGGCAGCTCTCCAGGCTGTCTGACTGGGGCTTTGTGCTGGAGCACAGGGCGCCTTTTCTCCACACCCGCACTGGCGCTCTCGGTGTCCAGGGAGGCCAGCATGGTCGAGGGGTATCTCACACAGGAGGGAGGTGCCAGTTTCACAGTCTGCTGAGCTCCACTGAGATCCTAAAGCAAGCAGGGAGAAAACAAGTTAACCTGTCCCCATTGGCTTGGCGGTTGTGCCCCTGGCAGCCAGGGTCCCAGGAGGGGAGCAGGGAGAAGGACTGGCCCCCCACGTGCAATCACCAGTCAAACTCAGTCCCAAAGTGGATTACTGTGCCCCTTCTGTGGGGGCAGATACTTGAGTTTCCAGGCCTGTACTCTCTGGCCTGTTTATTGTCTACATGTTTTCCATCTGACCTCGACAGGGAAGGGAATGGCCAATCTCTTCAGGTGCTGGTGTGGGCCTGGATAATGGCAAGTGCTTTCCTCGACTTGGAACAAGCTGCGGGCTGGTAGCAGTGAGCAACAGAGACTTTCCTCCAGACCCTGTTCACTGTGCAGAGATGGAGCAGAGCACCCCAGATGATCTGCAAATCTCATACTCCTCCCTAGTCTCCCTGCGCAAGCATATGCTTAGCTCTTGTTGCAGTTGCACAGATACTTAGGGATGAATTAACACAAAAGATGTTTCCCCCTCCCAGCAGCCAAACCAAATTGCTTGGCGGATCTGGATCCTTGGGGAGGATCAAAGCCTCGGGGATGGGCTGGCAGCGCTCCACGCTGTTTACATGTATGTATATTCATGGCACTGTTAACCCCAGACCATTTAATAATATTGAATTTCATATTTATTACATTTCTTAAATACCATCTAAGGAACCTCAGTTTCCTGGGGTATTCCCAATGTTTGTTCCTAGGGCAGAGAAGGCTAACTCTCCGCGTAGCCCTGCCTCATCATTTATTCTCTTGCTGCATTACTGGGGTCTCTATTCCTGCAGTGGCAGCGTCTTTCCACAGAGCCGACGTCTTTCTTCAGCTCTGCCTTGCGTGCAGTCTGACCGTCCAGCCCGAGGTACAGCTCAGCCAGAGCAGTGAGCAAACACTTTGCTTTCAAATCTCACCATTTTGTTTCAGCAGGAGCAACTGAATGTGACTCCCCCCAGGCCAGGGCGGGCCGAGTCTCTCTGAGTCCTGCAACAGCCCCATCACTATGAGAGCTCAAAAAAAGAGACCTTGAGCCTGCCCAGAGTGCTGGTCTCTGACACGAAATGGCACAGGAGGAAGGTGATCTGGGGACTACCTCCAGTGAAGCAGGGCTGTTTCTCCAGGCAGTGGCAAAGCCTCAGACTGTCCCCCTCCCTCCCAGGCTATCTTCAGCTTTGTTTGTCCTGAGTCCCCTTGAAGCCTTTCCCCAGACCACTCCCCAGTCACAACAATTAGAGGGTTTCTTTCTGTCCTGAGCCAAACAATCTTCAACATCCTGTCCCTTCCCTTCGCTTCGGCTGCTTTGTTCTCCACCCACAACAAAGTCTCCTTAGCTAAGCACAGTGGCCTTTTCCTCCTTCATCTCAGCACTTCCTCCTTTTCTACCCTTGGCCCACTTTCTTCAAGAGCCACCACACCGATAGAGAGGCAGGACCCCTTTTATCCAGACCCCAGCCCTTTTACCCAGACCCCAGCCCGTGGCATAAGCATCGCTGTGGCTGCCCGGCCCCATGAGGGAAGAGGCAGCTTGCGTGATGGGACCATCCAGCCGCCACCTCCAGAAAGCTCTTGGACGCAATGAGAAGCCCAGGCTTTCTCCCGATTGTGTGGGGTTTTATTGCAGGCTCCTTGCGGGGTTCCAGTGAGGAAAGCACAGCTGTGCTTGCCTTGTTTGATTAACAGAAAAGACCTGCATCAGCCTGTCAGTCACTGAGTTTGAACGTGCTGCCTCTCACCGAGCGTGAGCTTATTGCTTTTCATTTCTGGGATTTCACTTCTAAATATCAAGCGGTTCCACAAATGCGCGTGTCATTTTGTTTCAGGTGTTCTCCTCTCCTCTCCTCCTGGCAGGTCAGTGCCCTGGGATTATAACCGTAAGGACGCACAACACCCTGGGACAGGCCTATGGTGCTGGAGCCGGCGGGGAGATAAGAGGCCAGCTTGGCTGTGGTGCTCTGGCTCTGTTGCACCGCTGCGGTGCATGAAGGGACGGCGCTGGCAGCAGCAGGAGCTGCAGCTGGAGAACTTTACGCTTGAATTGCTCTGGGTTATGAACCCTTGCTCGTGGGGCGACAGCTGCCAGCCTGGCCCTGGGGCAATGGGGTGCGGAGAAAGCGCCGCGATGGGCGAAGCCGCCTTTCAGACCTGCTGACTGTGAGCGGCGCGCGGTTTCGTCAGCGTGTGGAGCAAGGTCCAGCCGTGCCTGGCAAGCTAGCATCCACCACGGTGCAGGCGAAAGCAGCAGGCAGAGTGGTGAGAATGGGTGGGAGGGCTCGACGGCGTCATCCGCAGTAATTGGCGGCCCATGGCAAGCGGCTGCGCGACCACGAGATGCCGGGATGTCTCCGTTCACAGTGTTTATTCTTTAGGATGTCGCTGTCACACACCCGGCTGCTGTGATTATTAATTACTATTTATACTTTGCTTTAGGTATGCGCTGCATTTTAAAGACCAGCAGAGGTGGGAACCCTGCCCTCCTGGAAGCTCCCAGGCTAGGTGGGAGGACGATACCTGCAGCGTGTCTTGGGGGGAGCTCAGGCCCTCCGGATAACATGGGATAATGTGCTAAGGGCCCTTCCTCCACCCCCTGCTCCCCGGCCACATCAAGAGAGGGGGCAGGCCCCCACCACTGGTTTATCAGCCCCATTTTCTGCTTTTCCATCCCATTTGCTCCTGAGCCCTGCAGCCCCTGCCTGGCTCCACAAGCCTCCCTGGAGCCAGGCGGACAGAGGGGGTCCCTCGTGCCACACTGGGAGTGCGTGCGGCGGGGGACACCAGGAACAGCAGGTGTGCAGAGGGAATTGCACTAATGACCCTGGAGCCTGCCCACGAAGTCTGTACCGCAACAGGTGTTCAGGCTACTGCGTGGATCCTCTGATGGTATGGGCAGAGCGCTTGGCCAGGCAGTGATGGCTTCTCAGTGCAGAGGGGTATTTTACAGCAAGGAGCTATTTTTTGGTGCCCACAGCAGTGTCCCCTGCGTGCCAGCCTTGCTGCTGGACTCTGGCCCCCAGGTCTCCTTCCCACCCACCCCAGCAGCCCCTAGTTAGCTGGAGGCAGACGTCTGTTACAGTGTGTGCCCAGAGAGGGAACATGGAATCATGCTACAGTCGGTGCTGACAGAGGTGGGTTGGGGCTGTCACACGGCTGCCAAAGGGCCACGCTGCTGGCATGAACTTTCCCCTGGTGAGCGGCCAAATTTAGGCACAGCCATCTCCTGCCCCCGAAGTGCGTTTTGGCTGTGCGGGTTGCACTGGCCTACACACCTCAGGCGTTTCTCTGCTGTGGTTTTCCAAGCCCAGTCTCAGTCGCAAGCGCAGCTGAAGGACGGGTGTGAAAGCAGGGCCAAGTTCCCATGCTGCATGCTGGGGCCGGGGAGCTCACTGCTCCCTCGTAAGCCCGGGAGCTGCAAGCTTTCCCACCTCCCTGCTTGGTGGGAGGAAAAGCGGGGAGGTGGAGGGGTCCCGTTGGTACCCAGGACAAGATCCTTGTTGGATGGGTGCTCTCCTGCCCTGCCAGCACCGTTTGTGATGCCCAAACAGTGCAGTGGCCATGGCCTCTTCTGTCTGGCCAGGCATCTGGGAAGAGCCATCTCCCTGCTGCTGGTGGTCAGCAGCCACCGCCTCCTCGCCAGTACAGGGCCCAGCCATGCTGTGGGCTTGTCTGGAGCAGGGGGAAAGGGTCATGCTGGGATGGGGGGCCCCTACCCCTGGGCTGGGGAGAATCCCAGTCCCTACAGTGGTGTATCCCTACAGCTGAGGCCCAGCCGAGCACCGCCGGAGCCTGGCAAAACTCTGTTGGCCCTGGTTGTACGGGTTTAATAATGTTGTAGTGCTCGATGGACTCGTGGTCCGTTCCTCAGATTGCACTATTTTGGAAGGGCCAAACGCGTCTGCCCATTCCCAGCTGGCGAGGGGGGCAAGGAGCCTTCGTCAGGCTCTGGCGGCATGGCTGGCGAGGGCAACCCCGTCACCCAGGCAGGAGGGTTCACACTCTGACTCTGTTTTGTCCCTGCGGTACCGCTTGCTTCCTCTTTTTTTTTTCTCACACACGCTGCGGTAAAACGTGTGCATCCTGCGTTTGGAGCAAACAACAAGCCCACGTCATGTGTTTTCGCTTTCTCTGTTTCCTTGCCTCCACGTGTTAGAAATCTGCAGCGTCCGTGCACTTTCCGTTTGGTACAAACAGAGCACGCACGGTCGCCAGCAGAGATGGCAACAGACGGTTTGCATGGGCACCACAAAAATATTTTGGCCTTTGGTGAAGCAGGTTCCCCCTCCCTGATTTCCAGACACTTCTTTTGGGGGGAGCAGTTTGGCTAGAGGAACCTGGGGCAGTTTGTAGACAGCAGCAGGGCTAAGCAGGGATTTTCTGAAATGTGCCTGGCAAATGTCGGGGATTTGAAACTGTGTTGGAGGCTCTTGCCCATGCTGGGCACCAGTGCGTCAACCCAGGCCCTGCTGGGGATGTGGCCGTAGAGTTTTGGCCCACCGCTCGGCCGCTGGCAGGGGTGGCAGGGTCGTGGCTTTGCTAATTTGCGGGCACATCTGTCCTCTGGGCAATGCGGAGGAGGGACCTCCTCGCCTGCAGCCTGGGACTGCTGAAGAGACCACGCTTGCCCCGCTGCTTCGGCAGCTGGCACAGAGGGTAATGCTGGCCAGGGCGAGGAGCCCTGGCAGCACAGGGAGCTGGGTGGCCAACACTGCCCCGAGAGGGGCTAGCCCACAGGCTGGCGCTGAGCTGGCGAGAGGCAGCGCTGGGCCCCACGGGTCCTTTCCCAGGGAGTGGTGCGGGCCGTGAGCTGCGGCAGTCGGCTATCCCCTCTGCTCTGACGGGCAGCTCAGAAATAGCAGCTGGCCCAGTTCTCCCGCCCCCGTGGCCCAGATCTCTAAGAACGGAGGTTGCTCGCGCAGCAACAGCAACAGCAGCAGCATCAGGCGCTGCATTTAGCCCGTGAGCTCAAACAGCAGGAGAGGCTGCCAGCAGGATCCCAGCCTGGCTGGGTGACGCTCCTGCTTGGAGACTGCGCTGCAGGCTCTGTTTGTTGCTGTAAACACGCTCGCTGCTGCAGCTTCCCTGTTACTATCTATAGCCGCGATCTCTTGGCTCCCGTGCAAGGCGAGTCTGCGGTCTGGCTCCCAGCTTAGCCTGACCTGAGCCAGGGCTGCCTGACATCCCCGTCGTGGGTGGGTGTCTCCGGGCTCCGCTGTAACAAGGATCAACACAAAACCCAAACTGGAGGAAAGGACGAGCCTCACCCCTCGCTCCTCGCCAGTGGTTTCGCGGTGGCCCCCTGCCTGTGCCCTTGGCGGGTGTCCCGGCACCCCTGAGAGCTGCGGGGTCTGCGGCCCCCCAGGCTTCCCTGGCAGGGTTTCCCAGTGCCCTGTGCCATTACCCTCGCTCTCGACTATTACTCTGCGTATATAATAGACAAGTAAATAGCGCCACATGAGCATAACGTGTTCCTCGCTGCAGGGAAGGGGGTAGGTCAGGCTTTCTGCACGCAGGGCCCACCGTGTCCCCGCGCCCAGCTATGGGCAGACCCCGCTCCGTGCCGGCCCTGCTTTGCCGCCTCCCTTGGAGCACCTCGC